CCACCGCGACCCCTCTGTGCAGCCGCCATGGCCTTGGGCTCCCGGAGCCTCTGCGGGGTTGGGGTGCGGGGTGCCGTCAGCGTGACCAGCGCTGAACCAGAGTTCTCCCCGCAGCTGCTCCGCGCCCGTGGGGGGCTGGGGGGCGGGAGGGCGGGACTGTGAAAATGGCGGCCTTGGTTCCCAAGGCCCGGTCGTACTCCCCGACCTCGCGCCCGCCGCGACTCCGCGGCCCACGGCAGCCCACGGGAGCCCCCGCTTCCGAGCGCACAGCCCCGAGAGGCCTTGAAAGGGAGGGGCCGCGCGGGACACACAGGCCCGCTGCGTAGGGCTGAGGCTCCCGCGAGGGGCGGGGGCTGGGGGCGCTGGGGCTGCGTGGCCCGGTGCCCCCTCCTCTTGGGAGGGGGCGCGCTGGCGGAACCCTTAAGCTTCCCCAGGCTGGGTGCGGTTGCTGCGGGGTCTGTGGGCTAAGTAGGTGGATTCGTGAGGTCTAGCCCGGGGCTCGGCATTGCTATCCTTAGTGAGCTCCCCCCATGGAGGGCCTGGGAACCTTGGGGCGGAATCTTGTTTGCGAGTGCTCGGTAGGAAGTGAATTTCGAGCTTTTCTGGCTAAGTGAGAAGGCAGGCAGCTTTTCTCTCCTCGAGCAGCTACCTACCTGGCAAGTTGGTAAAATTTGCTGCACAGTCAGGTCAATTTGGAGAGGACGAGTCTGAATGTTTGTCAGCGTTTCTGTGCCTTGCGTATAGTTAGTATGGTTCATCAGCAAATGTGTTGTGCTCTGCGTGCCCCACTGACCTGTTCCTTTTGCCGCCGAGCTCTTTAGAATGGTATGTAAACCTGAACACAGAAGACTTAATACAGGTACTCCCTCTGTTTAACAAGGGCAAAGCTTCAAATTAAAAAGAAAAAATCAACGAGTAGTAGTTTCTGATTTAGCTCTCAATTTTAATGGCAAAATGGAATGGCAGTGAGCTTCACTGCCCTCTTTGTTCATGAGTTTTAGAGATTCTGGATTGAGTTTCTTACATGTAAAATTTAGTAGTAGTTATGTGCATTTTTTTGTTTTTAATAAGTCACTTATATCTAAACTAGGTTTAAAACTAAAGCACCAGCACTCAGGAGAACTCAGCTTGTAGATAAAGCCCCTGTCTTCTGCTTGGAGTTGGATTGTCCACAGATTCATTTATCTAATGATTATAAATGTTTTGACAACAGTCTACAGAGATTACCAAGTTTCAGGTTATCACAATAAAGTATCATGGGAAACATACTTTCCTCTGAACATTGAGATAGCACTTGGGAGTTCTTGCATATGCAGGAACAACTTTTCAGGGGAAATCCAGGACAGTTCCTCACTTATGAGAGCCCATCATGTTCCCCCAGGCTCACAGCCATAGATACAGTTTAGAAAAAGCATCAGAGATCTCATGGTTCCCAAGTCTTAGAATACTCAGTAATCAGGACAATCAGTTCTTTGTCAGTTGAGGGAAGAGAGATTACTGTGGGTTGCTTTCTTGACCCCAAATACCTTAGTCTACCTCTTTGGGAGGAGGTAAGATGTTTTAATTTCAGTTTGCCTGAAATTCTAATAATACAAATGAACTAAATACTCAGGCATGTGATTGCTCTCTTTTCAATATATAGTCTTCAAATAGGAATCCACTTAAGTGAAGGGTATATGGATGTTCTCAAAGAAAGTCAAGTAAGAGCTTGCATTGTTTTGGGTGTTTGCAATAGACTTTGCAGGGAAGAACTGCAATTTTGCACCCCACTTAGTTTTTTACTATTTTGTATCGCTGTGTACTTGGAAAGAAGGATGAGAGGACAACAAAAACTACAATATAGGGTGACTTGAAGATATGTCCACAAATTCTGTGATGTACTTCCCACAAAGAGGTGCTTAGTTGCTTTATTCTTTGTTATTGAATGTGGCCCACAATGAATAGAATGTAGCAGAAGTGACAGTGTATGAGTTATAAGACTAGGTCATAAAACATACTGCAGCTGCCTTCGTGGTTCCTCTCTTGGATTACTTGTACTGGGATAAATCAGAGCCACCATCTGAAAGCATGATGAACTCAACCCCATAGAAAGCCCCATGTATAAGGAATTAAGGCTTCCTGCCAACAGCCACATGAGTGAGTGGTGCTGGAAGTAGATCCTTCAGTATCAGTTATGCCTTCAGATGGCGGAAGCCTGGCTGCGTTGACTGAAACCTCATGAGAGCTCTCTTCCAGATGACCCACACAGACAATGAAATAATAAATGGCTATTATTTAAATATGCTAAGTTTGGGGATAGTTTGTTACCCAGCAATAGATAACTAATATACCAACTAAAATATCAATTTTATATCAGGAAAGACATTCTTATTCACTTATTACATGGACTTTTGTTCCTAGCCCTGGCCTTAGGCTGGTGACATGGTTTCTACCACTGAACATTACAATGGGCTAAATTTCTGTGAATAGCCTTGGACTGTAACCACTGTTTGTGACCTTATTTTTCTGTTTTTGGAGTTTATAACAATAGGCAAATGAACTTTTGAAATATTCATTATAATCTGAGTTGCCTGCAGTTCTGCTAGCTAGTGCTCAATATGCCATTCTTGTCAGTATGAAGAGCTTTTTTCACGTACATGGGGAAGTGGAAAACTTGCCAGGCATTTAGCCCATCTGTTACTCAGGTAACCTGTTATATACAGAGATTGTTTTACATAACAGCCAAGTTTGACCTGTCAGTTCAATTGCAAGACATAGACATAAGGCATTTTATATCAAAACCTGTTTTCTGGTTCAGATATGTGTTATAAAAAATGACAGTACCAGGTACACTGTAGAAGACCCAATTTATATTAGCTTATTTAATCCTTACAACATCACTATAAAGAAGAGAGTCAAATCATGAGTCTTGGAGTTAGACTGCTTGTGTCTGACTGAAGACTCCCCCATTTATAGCTGTATAATTTCTGGGTAGCTATTTCTTACCTATTAAATGATAATACCTGCTTCACTGGGCTGAGGTAAGAATGAAATGAGATAATACTTGTGAAGCATGTACAACTTAGCATACTTAGTTTCTAGCGCATAAGAAGTGCTCAGTTGATGCCAACTATTACTAATTTTTAAGTAGATCAAGGCTGGAAGCTGGGGAGGTTAAGTAATTTGGCCAGGGCCATGCAGCTAGCCAACACAGCAGGACTGAACTCTAAATCAGTTTGGCTTCAGAGCTCAAACTTTTAACCATTGTTCTGTCTCCATGGGTTTCTTTTTATACACAAGGGGAAAAGGTCTATAGAAAAGAACCTAGACTTATGATGTTCTGTCTCCGTGGGTTTTTTTTTATACACAAGTGGAAAAGGTCTGTAGAAAAGAACCTAGGCTTATGACTTGCTGGGAGAGATCCTTATTTCATATATCCAAGGTTTGCCAGCACCTTGAGATTTCAGTATCGTCTTGTGAGACCCCTCTTGGAAATGAAGGGGGAAAGGTTGAAAAGTTTATTAAAATCAAAATGCGCCTCTATTGACTGGCTCACATGCTGTTATGTTCTCCTTTCTGCATTGGAGCATGCCTGTAGGTGGGCCCATAGGATGATTTTGGAATGTGTTCCCATATCTTTTTTCAGGTGGTGAACCGTGTGGGTATGTATGGGCAAGGGTTGGTGCAATGCACAGCTACAGCTAGTATGATAATTTCTTTATGTGGACTGCTTTGGTAACATGGTGGCTGGAGATTTAGTTCAACTCCTCCTCCAGGGAAAGGGACGGGCCCAGAATAGAGAAGAGAACTTCCCAAGGCAAATTGCCTTCTTGGAAAGGATGTGATAAAAGAGAGACTGTGATCCAGGAACTCATCTACTTGTCAGGCAAACCAATCTGTGAGGCAAAACCTATACTCAATCAAGTTCATTGTTTTTACCTAAGTTTTTTTTTTTTTTTTTTAAGTAAGCGTTCCTGTGATTTCTCTAGTCTGGCTGAAATGACAGGGATAGGAGTTCCAGATGGAATGGGATTTTAAGGAGTATGCACACCAGCCTTGGAGTCTGGAGGCAGAGCTGGGCTCTGGGGAGGCTTGAAGATGAAGTGGAAGGCTGTTTGGGAATTGCTTTGGGTTTTATCCTGGATAAGAGCACCAAAGGAGAACTTGAAGAACCAGATTCACATACATTACTATGACGGCAATAGCAGCGTCATTCATATTAAGTAACTTCAGTTCTTGGAAACTGACTTTAAGTGAAGAGGATGTATAAGAGGAAGCCAGGTCTTCAACATCTTTGTTCAACATCAGCCTGGAATCAACAAACAATGTTGAATGAAACAATGTCTTTTGAGGACCTGTGGTACTGCATTTCTATCTGAAGCTGTTTTTGTGTCCATGTCATTTAACATTGTATTCATAGTAACAGACCTATAAATTAATACTCATGGATTAAAATATGAAGATACTTGAATCCTAGAATTTACCCATAATTAAAATTCTCTAATATAAAGAGTTCTAGTTCTTTAAACTGCTGTGTAAGGTCATTTCAAAGAAATTCTTAGTGGTGAGGTCAATCTGTCCCATAATGACTAGAGATTAGTAATACCCTAGTAGTTAATATTTATACTAGACTTATTTCAGAGAACATTACAACAATTATGAATTAGGCCAGGACAGAAATGCTACTGCAGACAAAGTAACTCTTTTTTGGTCTCTAACAACTGGTCACTTTAAACAATGGAGGTCATTGTTTAAGACCCCTTCTGGAGGGTTATTGTGAGGATTAATTAGATTAAAATCTGCAAAGTGCTTTTGAGTTTTTCTCAGAATTCCTTTATAAATAAAGATGTCATTAATTTTTTAAAAGTATCTTTATATTGGCCCTCCCAGAATAAAATGTAACAAGTTTACCT